TGCCAGGGTCTATGCTTTTCTTTGTTGGTAGTTTTAAATTTACATCTTCAATTTCATTGACTGATGTTGGTTTATTTAGAGTATTTATATCTTCTTGAGTTAGCTTTGGTAATTCATATGTATCCAGGAATCTGTCCATTTCTTCTGTCTCTTCTTTCTTATTAGAATACAGGTTCTCCAAGTTTTGATGATCTTCTGGATTTCTGTAGGATCTGTTGTGGTTTTACCTGTTTCATTCCTAATTCCATAGATTTGTGTCTTTTCTTTCCTTTTTGGGATAAGGTTGGCTAAGGATTTGTCAATTTTATTTAATCTTTCGAAGAACCAACTTTTTGATTCACTGATTCTTTGTATTGTTTTGTTGGTCTCTACTGCATTAATATTTATAATTTCCTCCCTTGTATGTACTTTGGGCTTGACTTACTCTTCTTTTATTATTATTATTACTATTATTATTTTTTGGGGGGGGTACTGGGGATCGAACTTGGGTCTTTGTGCTTATGAGGCAGGCAGTGGAAGCACTGAGGTGACTCCCTGGCCCTTATTCTTCTTTATCTAGAAACTTGAGGTTCAACATTAGGTAGTTTATTTGAATTACTGATATGTGAATTCACCACTGTAGGACACTATAGGATACCTCATAGGGCAGCTTTCATTGCATTCCATAAATTTCATATGTTGTATTGGTAGTATCATTTAATTGTAGAAACTGTCTATTTCTGCTTTAATTTCACCTGTGACCCATCAGTTGGCCAGGAGGGTGTTATTTAATTTCTATGTGTTTCTGAAGTTTTTGTGGTTTCTTTTGCCCTTGATTTCTAATTTAATTGCAATATGGTCCAGTAATATGCATGAGACAATTTCAGTTCCTTTACATTTACTTAAGTATTTTCTATGAGCTAGCATGTGGTCTATTTTGGAGAATGTCCTGTGTGCTGTTGAGAAGAATGTGTATTCTGATGTTGTGAGGTGGAACACTGTATAGACATCTACTAAATGTATTTGCTCCAAAGTGTGGTTCAGTTCTGAAATTTCTTTGTTGATTTTTTTGTCTAGTTTATCTATTTGTGACAGTGGGTTATAGAGGTCTCCTTTAATAATTGTATTTCTGCTTATTTGATTTTTCATGTTTGTTAATACTTGTTTTATATAGTTGGGTAGACTGGTATTTGGTGCATATATATTTATGATTGTTATCTCTTCCTCTTGGATTGTTCCCTTTACAAGGATGGAGTGATTTTCTTTGTCTGATCAGTCTTGCCCTGAAATCCATTTGGTCCACAAATAGAATTGCTGCCTCTGCTTTTTCTTACTTCTTCCAGGTATAGCTGGATTTTGGGTTTTGTGTCTGTCACAGGATCCTGCCTCTTCAATTTATGGGGATGAAAAATTGCTACCTATTTGTCCAGTCCTTGGTTTACTGGCACTGGCTATAGTGTCATTTATGACTTTAGGCAATCTTAGTCTTGGCATAGCAGAAAGAACAACTGATTAGAACAATTATGTCACCTTGGCTAACATAGTACAATTGACAATAACAATAGCATCAAACAGCCTAGAAAATGACAAACTGTGATAACTATTAATTTGCCACCTTTAAGTGTATGTAGTATATTTGTGGTTATATAACAAAATCTAAAACAGTCTGAAAAATTGTATACAAAACAAACAAAAAATACAAAATAAAAGGAAGAAAATAAAATGTCCACTTCAAGGTGTCTCTGCTGTCACTGGTAGATAGAGCGGACAGATAGAGCTCAGATCCATGTTGATTAATCCCAGCAACCCAGCTGCAGATTTATGGCTGGGTAGTGGATAATCCCAGCAAGCTTGCACCTTTAGTTCCACTGAAGTTCAGGCTTGTTTCTGGCTTTGAGGCTGGAACTTGATCTGTTCAGCTTGCAATACTCCATGTGCCTCCTACCAGCTTTAACTTGGCTTATTGACCTCCTGCCTATGTGAACTTAGTTACACCTCACCTTGACACTGGGAGCTGCTAGATGGAGGCAGCCTGCAGCTGCTCTGAGTTTCTCCAAGATAGCTACCATCCAGTCATCATCTCCTAGGGCATGTCTGAACCTGAATAACTCACCAGTGACTGTGTAGTCTGCTGCATCCTCTGCTCCATTCCACTGGTGCATTTCTCCATGGAGGCCTCTGGAGTCACCAGTAGTCACTGTACATCTGCAGGTTTTAGCTGTTTCTCCCATCCAGTGAGTCAGGGGTCAGGGAGAAAGTGCAACTTGCCACCTCCTTCTTCTGTGTTGAGGTCTCTCTCTTCACTCTTCTCATTGGCTTCATTTCTCACTTCAGATACTTTCTGGATTCCCAGGACCCACTTTCCCCCTTTTCTTCCTTACATTGCTATATTCCAGTGTCTGGACACCGAATCTTGAAGAGGGTGTTCTCTGCTGTTCACCACTCTGCGATCTTCCTGCAAGTCTGGTTAATTGACTTTTGGACAAGGATGGCAAACCACTCATGGAGAAAGAATACCCTCCAACAACTAGTGTCAGAACAACTTTATAGGTACATGCAAAATAGTGAAGTTCGATCCCTAACTCATACCATATACATGAATGAACTTAAAATGGATCTACAACACAAATATAAGCACTAAATATCTTATAAGAAAACACAGGGGTTAACCTTAAATTTGGTAAAGATACATAGATATGACACCAAAAACACTGCTAGGATAAAGTAGATAAATTGCAAATATTTTAAACCTTAATGAAATTTGCATCTAAAAACACTTCTGAGAAAGTGAAAAAAAAAAAAAGCCAAGCCACTGAATGAATGAAAATATTTACAGATCATATATCTGATAAAGGATTAATATTCAGAAATATATAAAGGACCCCCCACAACCTAAAAATAACAGCAGCAACAATGAAACAAGTCAAATTAAAAAGGGACAAAAGGCTTGAGTAGACATTTCTGTAAAGAAGATACTACACATGGCCAATAAGCATATGAAGAGATTTTTTTAATGTTACCAGTCATTGGGAAAATGCAAATCAAAACCACAAATGATACACATTGTCACACTTATTAGTATAACTATTCTAAAACAACAGAGAGAAAAGCTAACCTACAGAATGGGAAAAAGAATTGCCAGCTACTCTTCAGACAAAAGACTAAGAGCTAGAATATATAAAGACCTCAAAAAATTGGACCCCCCAAATTTAAAGATCCAATAAAAAACTGAATATCTGAAATAAATAGACATTACTCAAATGAAGAAATACAGTTGGCCAGTAAATACATGAAAAAATGTTCAACATTGATGATCATTCAAGAAATGCAGTTTAAAACAACATTAAAATTCCATCTTACCCCAGAAAGAATGGCTATTATGAAGAAATCAACCAATAAAAAATGCTGGCAAGGCTGTGGGGAAAAAAAGAAAGGAACCCTTCATTGTTGGTGGGAATGTAAACTGATATAACCAGTATGGAAATCTGTAAGGAGATTTCTCCAAAAACTGAAAATAGAAATTCCATTTGATCCAGCTCTTCCCCTTCTAGGTGTCTTCCAAAAAGAGTTTAAAACATCATACCACAGGGATGTATGCATAATCATGTTTATAGCAGCACAAGTCATAATAACTAAATCTCAGTAACAGACTATATGTACATCAACTGATGAACAAATAGAAAAAATATGGTATTTATACACAATGGAGTACAACTGTGTCATAAAGAAGGATAAACTTGCATTTGTAGGAGAATGGATGTACTTTGAGACCATAATGTTAAGTGAAGTAAATCAGACACACCAGCTTAAACATCATACGATTTCTCTTATATTAAAAACTTCATATTAACAAGATCCCAACAATGAATGTAACTGTACTGTAGCCCTAAAATGTACCAATAAACTCAATTAAAGCTGAAAAAAACTTCATATATAAAGCATGAAATAAAAGACAGATAATAGGAAAAAAGAGAGCAAAAAGTTATTATATTCTAAGTGCTTTGTTTCTAGTTTCACTCCAATATGGCTCGAGAGCTTACTTTGCAGGATTTCCATTTCTTTGGAATATATTAACGTCTTTATTGTTCCTATGAATATGGTCTATTGGGTGAATATTTCTCATGATTTTTGAGAGAACTATTTACTCTGCAGATTTTGCATACAGTATAGTGCTCCACTTGAGGCATGATGTTGCTGATTTGACTGTACCATTACAGATTTTTCTACCTTCTTATCTGTGAATTACTGAGGGAGGTGTTTTGAAGTTTTCAGTAGTATTTGTGCATCTATGATTTTTCTTTCAGTTTCATGTTTTTGCCTTATGTTGTTAGGTGCTTTGTATAGTGTAATATGTATTAAGAAATACTAGTTTTTGTTAGAGAACTGCCTTTTATATCATTATGTAACCACTGTAATCATTGTTTAGTTTGAAGTACAAGTTGAATAGTGTCAAATAAATATAGTTACAGCATGTTTTGTTGAATCAGTACTAGACTAGTGTGTCTGTTTGGATAACTTTCTATTTAATCTGTATTTTGATGTTTACCTTATATTTGTTATATTTCAAAAAATATTTGTATATCTTTCAATTGATAAATAAAAAGTTTTTAAAACCCAGAAAATATGTTTGTGAAAATGTAGTGAAATCAGAACCCATGTGCATTGTTTATGGGAACATAAAATTGTTCAATTATTGTGGAAATAAGCTGGAAGTTCCTCATAAAATTAAACATAGAACTATCATATGATCCAGCATATACTTTTGGATATATATCCAAATGAATGGAAAATAGGGACTCAAATAGGTACTTGTACATCCATGTTCATAGCAGCATTCTGCACAAAAGCAAAAGGTCGAAGTAAGGAGAATGTCCATCAATAGACTAATGGATAATTAAAATATAGGTGCCAGGGCCAGGGACTTAGCTCAGTGGTTCTGCTGCCTGCCTCACAAGCACAAGGACCCAAGTATGATCCCCAGTTTAAAAAAAAAATATATATATATACACACATATATATAGGTGCTTGCTTCAGCAGCATATCTACTAAAATTGGAACAATACAGAGAAAAGTTGCATGGTCCTTGCACAAGGATGGCACACAAATTCATAAAGCATTCCATATTTTGAAATAGAACTTCAGGAGATTAAAAATTCTATTGAAAGTATGGGTAGCAGAAGTGACAAATATGAGAACAGTCCAAGAACTAAAAGAGAGGGCTGTTGAAGGTGGCCAATTAATGAAAGATACCTTATAGACAATAAGAGAACATGAAAAATGGATCTAACAGCTACTAGATGATGCAAAGAAGACAAGATTAATTATGATTAATGAAAAATCAGAAGATAGCATAAATGGAAGAAAAGCCTGTTTACTGAAATAATGGCCCTTAACTTTCAAAATAAAGATAAAAGAATTTAGCATACAAATAAATGTAGCTTATAAAGTTCCAAATAGCCATGATCAGAAAAACCTCTTTATTGTACATCATAATCAAAATCTTGGAAGTTCAACCCAAGAACAGATTTTTTAAAAGTGGTTATAGAGAAGCAGTGAATCACTTCTAAAGGAAAATCCATGAGAATTACAGCAGACTTCCCAATAGAAACTTTAAAGGCCAGAAGATCTTGCAGTACAGTGCTTCAAGCCCTAAAAGAAAATATTTTCCAACCCAGGCTGACTTATCCTGCAAAATGATCTTTTAAAACGGATGAGAAGCAGGGTATGGTGGTGCATGCCTATAATCCCAGCATTTGGGAAGCTGGGGCAGGAGGATCACCAAGAGTTTGAGGCCAGACTAAGATCCATAATAAATTCAAGGTAAACGTGACCTACATAGCAAGACTCTGTCTCAAAAAAAATATATAGAGAAATAAGATAGTTTCATGATAAAGAGCACCTAAAGAAATCCATGACCACCAAAACCAGCACTCCAAAACATTCTCAAGATTACCCTACAAAGAGACAGTGAAGCTAATCATGACAAAAGCTCTAATAGAATGAATATGTCAGGTGGGCCAAACAGTTAAATAGAAGGGAAAGATAGGAAATCAGCAACAGGAAAATAAAGCAATGCCAGGAATAAGTCAATACCTGCCAGTAATAACTCTCAATGTGAATTATCTCAATCCCTGAGTAATGAGAGAATGGATCAAGAAACAAAATCCAATGCTGTGCTGTATACAAGAAATATATTGAATTGAAAAATAAACTTGTAGACTAAAAATCGAAGGATGGAAAACAATATTCCTTGCAACAAGAACCTAAAAAAAAAAAAAAGGAGATGTGGCTATCTTATATTTACATAAAGTGGACTTCAAACCAAAACAGATCAAAAGAGGCAAAGAAAGTCATTACACACTGGTTAAGGGGACAATTCAACAAGAAGAGATAGCAATTATTAACATATATGCACCAAACAACAATGCACCCAACTTCATCAAACAAGTACTACTGGACATAAAAGATCAGATAAACATAAACACTGTTATAGTGTGTGACTTCAGTACCCTACTGTTACAAATAGACAGATTAGACAAAACAATAAAAAAATCAGAGTTGAACAAAACCTTTGTAACAAATGGACTTAATAGATATCTGTAGAATGTCCCACCCAACAACAGAATATACATTCTTTTCAGCTGCATATAGAACTTTCTCCAAAATAAACCACATACTAGCCAATTAATCAACCTTAAGTAAATATAAAATAAGTGAAAATTTACTATTCTTATTATCAGACCATAGAACAGTGAGATTAGAAATCAGTGACAAAAGAAAACACAGAATGTTTGCAAATTCTTGGAAACTGAACAATATACTCTTAATTAAACAATGGGTTATAAAAGAAATCAAAGGAAATAATAAGAGTTTCTGGAACTATATTTTAAAGTCAGTACAACATACCAAAACTTATGGGACATAATAAAAACAGTTCTAAGAAGGAAATTTATAACTGTGAATGTCCACATCACAAAAATAGAGCAATCCAAAATAAATAACTTAATGATGCATCTCAAGGTCCTAGAAACACAAGAACAATCCAAACCCAAAACTAATAGAAGAAAATAAATTAAAAACATCAGAGTAGAAATCAATGAAAGTGAGACTAAAAAAAAAATAGAATTAATAAATCATAAGAATTTGGCGTGGTGGTGCATGCCTGTAATCCAAGCACTTGGGAGTCTGAGGCAGGAGGATCACTGTGAGTTCAAGACCATCCTGGGCTACATAGTGAGTTCCAGGTCACCAAAACTAATAGAAGAAAATAAATTAAAAACATCAGAGTAGAAATCAATGAAAGTGAGACTAAAAAAAAAATAGAATTAATAAATCATAAGAATTTGGCGTGGTGGTGCATGCCTGTAATCCAAGCACTTGGGAGTCTGAGGCAGGAGGATCACTGTGAGTTCAAGACCATCCTGGGCTACATAGTGAGTTCCAGGTCAGTCTCAATGCAGTTAGAAATGAAAAAGGTGAAATCACAACACTGCCAAAATATAAAACATTATTAACAACTACTTCTAAAACCTTGTACCAATAAATTGGAGACTTCAGAAGAAATAGATTCCTAGATACATATGAATTGCCAAAATTGAACCAAGAAGATTTAAAACTCTTGACTAATCCAATAACAAGCCATGAAATTGAAGAAGTAATAAATAATCTACCAACTAAGAATTCAGGTCTGGACAGTTTCACTGCTTAATTCTACAAAAACTTCAGGGAGTTCTAACTCCAATACTCACCAAGCTTTTTAATGAAATTGAAAGGGAAGGGTATTCCCAAAGTCATGCCTGGAAGATACCATTGCCCTGATTCCACAACTCGACAAGCATCCAACCAAAAAGAACAACTATCGATCAATCTCTTTAATGAATATAGACACAAAATTCCTCAACAAGATACTGGTAAACAAAATGCAATGAATCATCAATGAATCATATGATCATACATCATAACCAAGTAGGTTTCCTCCTAGGGACAAAAGGATGGTTGAACATATACAAATCAATAAATATAATGCATCACATAGACAGAAGCATGGACAAAAATTACTTGATTATCTCAGTAAATGTAGAAAAGGCCCTTGACAAAATCCACATCCTTTCATGATAAAAAAAAAAAAACTGAAGAAAATAGGTACCAAAGACCTTATCTCAATGTAATAAAAAGCCATTTGTGACAAAACTGCTACCAATATAATATTACCATAAATGTGAAAAAACTAAAAAAATTTCCTCTAAAATCAAGCATAAGGAGGAAGGGATGAAGGGAGGGCAGGGACAAGGGCAAAAAAATGAGAACCATGTAGAGGTACAAGATCCCAATAATGAATGTAACTGTACTGTATACCTAAAATGTACCAATAAACTCAATAAAAGAAAAAATAAAATAAAATCAAGCATAAGTCAAGACTTTCCACTATTACCAGTCCTATTCAAAAGTTTATATGAAACAGCATAAGCAGTTAGGCAAGAAAAAGAAACAACAAAGAAATGTATGAGAGAGAAGTCAAATTATTATTATCTGCAGATGACATGATATTCTGTATAGAAGATCCCTAAAAAGCCCACAAAAAGACTCCTAAAATTAATAACCAAATTCAGTAATAGTAGTACCATGAAAAATTAGATACATAGGAATTAACCTAAGGAAGTGAAAGACCTCTATAATGAAAACTATAGTACTCTGTAAAAGGAAACTGAAGAGGGCATTAGGAAATGTAAAGATAGCCCTCATTCTTGGATAGGCTATATATAGTCAAAATGGCCACACTTCAAAAACTGATATACAAACAACATTCTTCACAAAACTGGAGAAAACAGTCTTAAATTCATATGGAACCAGATGAGACCCTGTATAGTGAAAGCATTCCTGGGTAAAACAAACAAAGCAGGAGGTGTCACTATCCTGGACTTGAAGTTATATTACAAAAGTTACAATGATAAAAACAGCATGGTACTGGTGAAACAGAATAGATGATGCAGAAATAACTGCAGATACATTCAATGATTTGATCTTTGATAAAGAGGCAAAACAAACAAACAAAAACAAACAAACAACCAAAAAACACTGTGGAGGAAAGATTGTCTCTTTAATAAATGGTGTTGGGAAAACTGGCTATCCATGTGCAGAAGATTGAATCTAGACCCATATCTCTCAATATGTACTACACTAAAATCAAAGCAGATCAAATAACTAAATGTTAAACTAGAAACACTTAAGCTGAAAGACAAAATAAGTATAACTCTTGAAGACATAGGCACGGACTTTCTCAACAAAACCCCAGTTGCACAGGAAATAGTTCCAAGAATCAACAAATGAGATCATATCAAATTTAAAAGCTCCTGCACAGCAAAAGAAGTAACTAACAGAGTGAAAAAACAAACTACAGGATATAGGTATTCCTCAAAGGACTTATATCTGGAATATATAAAGAATTTTAAATATTAGGCTCTCCAAAATAAAAGAATCCAAAATGGGCAAGTGAAATGAATAGATACTTCACAGAAGTAGTACAAATGGCCAATAAATACATGAAGAAATGCTCGACACTGTTAGCAAGTAGAGAAATGCAAATTAAAGCAACACTGATATTCCATTTTATCACAGAAAGAATGTCCATCACCAAGAAATCAAATAAATGCTGGAGAGGCTGGCGGGGGGCAGGAGGGAACCCTTCTACACTGTGAGTAAACTAATAAAACCACTATGGAAATAAATGTGGAGATTCTTCACAAAACTGAAATTAGAAATTTTACTCAGCTAGTCCCTTTCTACATATCTTCCTGAAAAAGTTAAAGACGTCATGTTACACTGATACGTACCTACCCATGTTTATCCCATCACAATTCATAATAGCTACATGTTGGTAGCTGCTTGTATGTCTGTCAACAGATGAATGGATAAAGAAAATGTGGTGTTTATACACAATGGAGTACGACTCTGTCACAAAGAAGGATAAACTTGAGTCATGTGTAGGAAAATGGATGTACTTTGAGACCATAATGTTAAGTGAAATAAATCAGACACACAAGCTTAAATATCATGATTTCTTTTATATGAGAAATTTAATATATAAATAGTAAAATAAAAGATAGATAATGGGAGGTTGGCTATTTAGTGCACCTGCCTGCCTTGCAAGAGCAAGGTCCTAAGTTTGATCCCTGGTACCAAAAAAGAAGGTAGATCTTTTTGCGAAAGGGAAGGGGACCAAGAGATGGAAAGAGAGAAGGGGAGGGAAAGGAGATGGTAAAAGAGTTGAGATATATTTTGTACATGTACCAATTCCCTACAAGAATGAAATCATTATGTAATGCAAAAATGTACTAATAAAAACTAGAAACAAAAAAAATTAGATGATCAAAAATTTATTGCCTTGGAAAGGACTGTGGCTGTTGGTAACAACAGAGCCATTGAAGTTATAGATGGATGAGAATCTGAAGAAGATTGATGCAAATGGTGCAAAAGTGAAAAAAATGAGAATGGTTTTGAGAAACAGATGACTTTAGTTAACTTATTTAAGTATGCATGATTAAGTTAATAGATTAAATATAGTGGATATTTCCATATTTCATGTATATTCCTAAATGTTTGTGTCCAGGCTAGCCAGGAAACTCTTGGGACCTTTACTCAGGAAACCTTGTGCTTAAGTTGCCAGCATGTTGAACACTGACTGGGGCCTATGTGGCTATTCTTTCAGTCAGCCTGGATTCAAGCCTTGCCCCAGATTTAGAGACAGAGGTAGGGAAGGGGAAAGGAGTTAGGTACACTGAGAATCCCTGGGGAACTAGGGACTCTGCCTCGGATTCTCAGCACTCAGTAACTGTATAAGTCAGCTTTCTGTCACTTTTTGGCAAAATTCCTAGGAAAATCAGTTGAAAGAAGGAAAATTTATTTTGACACACAGTTTCAGAGGTTCCAGGTTCCTGGTCTCTGAGGGCCATCACTACCAGCCTACAGGCAGAACATCATGGTTGGGGGTACATGGAAAAGCATATCTACTCAGATAGTTACCCAGAGAGGAAGGGACTGGAAAATGATATGTGCTTCAGTACATGCCCTGTGACCTGACTCCTACAACTAGGTCCCACCTCCTCACAGCCTGTTCAGCAAAGGAACTCGTCAATGGATTAGTCTGTTTAATGAAGTTAGAGCTCTAGTGGTACAGTCACTTCCCAGAGCCCATCAGCTGGCACCCAAGCTTTCAACACAATGAAGGGACATTTTCTGAGGGACATTTTGGATTCCAACCATAACAGTAGCTTAGGAGCAACCCTTGCCTACATCTGGTTGGGTGGCCCAGGCAGAGGGCCAGGACTACAAGACTTTGCATTTCGGTTTGACTTCTCCAAACCTTGCCACTCCTGCAGATCTCAGAGGTGATCTTTGTGGCCATCTACACCTCTGAATTCTCCATGAAGCTCTATGTGGACCCTATCAGCTATTGGAAGCATGGCTATAACCTGCTGGATGTGTTCATTATCGTCGTTATTTTCATCCCTTATGTGCTCCGTGAGGTCAAGGGTAAACACTTCCACTACCACAACGTTGCTGAGGGCATACAGTCCCTGCGCATCCTCAAGCTTATCACCTATAGCCAAGCCATCAGAGTGAGTGACCTCGGGGTGCCATGGTGCTGGGAGGGAAGGCCATAAAGCCCACCTTCCCAGGAAGTAATACTTGACTGCTATCTTTCTGTCAGTGAGTCCTACTGTGTGACAGGTTGATCTATATTGGTATTATCTCAGCCAATCTCAAAACAATGGTAAGAAAGACATTATTAGCTCCATTTTACAGATGAATACATTGAGGCCCAAGGTCACTTAGTTGAATGTCAAGGCTGAGATTTGAAAGGTGTGTCTGACAGCAGAGGCCATCAGAACCTTTTCTCTTTCCCTGCTGCAGAATAACTGATGTCTAATGGTCCAGATCTCTTGCACTATATTCTTGGAAGTCTCCAGCTTTTTGGCAGCCTTGGCCACTCACTGCTTCTCCTAGTAGCGAATAGTCAGCTGCTCCTCTTTGTGGGAACAATTTCCTCACTTTGTTACGGTAGTTCTGTAAGTACTGCTCCCATTGAGAAGTCTTCCTGGGTTATTGAGGTCATAAAGTGACCAGCCTTGCCTTGTCTCAGAAGGTTCCAGAACAAGACTCAAGAGCTGACCCATTCTCAGCCAGGCCTAAAGGTATGTGTCCTGGACACAGTGCATTTTCCCTGACCAATGCCATCTAAGAAGGGGCTGGTCAGGGCCTATTGTCCAGTCAGGGTGTGTTGCATGTTCTGTTGCTGTCACGCCTAGTTCCAGCCCTGGAAATGTGAGAGAACCCCCAACTCCAGCTGACACATACCCACAGTTACTCTTGCTCTGAGGCAAATATTTTCCATTTCCTTGCCTTTCACAGTGCCCTAACTTCTTCCTCTCCCTCCAGAGTAACTAGCTTTTCTGAGTTTAACAACATTCTTCTTGTTGCCAAATTCAGTGACTATTTCCAGTATTCTTGTTACTGTTCTCTTTCTCCCTATTCTCTCTGGGTGATATATGGATTGAACCCAGGGCCTTACTCATGTAGACAACTGCTCTACCATTAAGCTACATCCCTAGTCCTCCTGAGAAAATAAAATTTTTTGTTTTGACGCAAGATATCACAAAGTTGCCCAGGCTGACCTTAAATTCATGATTCTCCTGTCTCAACTTCCAAGTAGCTGGGACAACAGGTGTGTGCCACTGGGTCCAGCTCTGGGCAATGTTTTCCACTTTCCAAGACTCTTCACCTACTCACACCTCCCTCTATGACCTTCAGACTCAGCTGTCTCCTGGACCTCTTGTGTTCTTCAAACGTGTCTAAACTGCAATTCATCATGCTCCCCCACTCCCACCTGCAGATCCCCAACCCTGGGGAAGAGTCTTCCATCACTCTTTTGGTTAAGAACCTTGTATCCCAAAGTGGTCCCCTGGGGATCACCAGCTGCCCTGGCTGTGGCTTTTCTGTAGCCTTTGGGATGTCATGGGTCCTTGGGTCCCCAGGGACACAGAAGTGACCTTGGATTATGTGCTCTCTATGCACCGGCCTTGCTTTCTGGACCAGGGGACCTAGAGCTGCCAAATAGAGGGCCTGACACCTCTGTATTGATTTGTGTTCATGGAAGTCTAAAGAAGCCCTAGCAGCTGCAGTTTCAGGCCCAACACTGGCATTCTGGCACATTCTTGGTTCTTGACTCCTGATTCATGAAAATGACACCCTATCTTCCACTAATAACAATAAACCTGCTCCACAAGGAAACAGTACTTTGCTTTGCACATAGACAAGCTTTGTTAGCTGGGCACATACTATTAGCTGGGGCTACACTGCTTCTGTTCATCTATGTTCATTCTGGTCACAACCTTCAATGCTGGGCTGTGAACAGCAGCCTCCCCTGCCTCCCTGCCTCCTCCTCTGGGGCCTCATCATCTTCCATAGGGGCTGTTTAGGAGGGCTTCCTCAGAGACCTGACCCTGGCCCCTTGGCATGTTTCAATGTCCCAGGGCTGAGAGGAGAGCCCAAGAGGGATGAACTATGTGCTGGGGATTGCTTTTTCAAAGTATTTGGGAATTCAAAACTGGGTATCTATTTGGGCCAGGCTGTAGATCTTGAAAGACTAGTATTTTTCTAGAGAAGGAGCTCCTGGGATCTGGACAGCCATCTTCTGGAACTGGTTTTCTGCACCTTTCTGAACTGTGAACTTTCTGAACTAGTGGAACCTCCCTATATGTGCTTGGAGAACCATGAACATCTGTCAGGGCCCTATAGAAGAGTGTGACCTCTCTCCACTGCTACTTTCAAGGCTGCTCAACTATGACCTCAGGTAGCATGGGCCTATGGGCTTGCCTGGATTTGGGAAACCCGACCCAGCCTCCCCCCATCCCTTCTGTATGTTCCTCAGGCTCTAACCTTGGCCCATGCTCTTCCTTTCTGTGAAGACCTGAAATGAAGTCTGTATCCAAATGGAGGTTTTCTCATGACAGCTTACTGATTTAGTTTGACTAGTTCTTTGGAGAGAAGTTCTGTCTCTGTCTAGCAAGGAGAGAGGCTTTAAGGGAAACCCGACCCAGCCTCCCCCCATCCCTTCTGTATGTTCCTCAGGCTCTAACCTTGGCCCATGCTCTTCCTTTCTGTGAAGACCTGAAATGAAGTCTGTATCCAAATGGAGGTTTTCTCATGACAGCTTACTGATTTAGTTTGACTAGTTCTTTGGAGAGAAGTTCTGTCTCTGTCTAGCAAGGAGAGAGGCTTTAAAAAAAAAAAAAATATATATATATATGTATATATAAAACATCTCAGCTTTTGGAATTAATCTGAAAACAGATTAACTGATTCTCTTCCCCCAGGGGGATGGAGGAGGCATGGACATACATTCACCCCTGCAGGTAGCTGTCAAACCAGTCCACACATAGGGCGGCCTGGTACTTTGGGGTTGTGTTATTTCCTGGAGTACCAAAACTGTCCAGATTTTACTGTCTTGTATCCAGACCCAAGTGCCTGCTTTCTTAGTGCTAAGCTAGGAAAGTCTCAGACTCAGGGTCACAAGTGGTTGGAGATGGTGACATGGGGCAAAGGGCTTGGGAATCAGTTCCAGCTCTGCCATTGTTCTGTGGTAAAACCCCTGGCCCAGAGAGTTTGCTCCTCTGAGCCTCTGATCCCTCATCCTAGAAAACTGATGATCCCTACCTATCCTGAAGTTATGCCTATGAAAGCGTTCTGGGTAGGAGAACATGTGTGGAGCCTCCACTGCATGCCAGACTCCAGGGCATGAGAATGAATGAGGAGCTGTGCACTGTGCTCCCCTGGATTGGGTAACAGGGTGAGATGGGACAATTGTCCACTTCATGGGGGGAGGCTGAGATCACAAGATGGGGACCTTCCTGCAAAAGTGGGGCCCAGAAGAAAAGGAGAACCATAGTTCCCTTGCCCTCTCCATTCTCAGTCTCAGGGTGGCTCACCTACTCCTCCTACAAGGAGCATTCAGGGCTGGACCTCATCTGAGAAGCAGGAACAGGACATCCTGGAACGACCACGGAGCCAAGCTCCATGGAGAGGGGTCCAGCAGGTGGTTAATGATGATAAGAGGGATGACACCCAGCCCTGAGATGGTGTGGTCCATCAGTCCACAGTAGCTGAGGGTGGATGCCCAACAGAAGTAAACCACTGTTAGGTTGATGCAACCCTCAGCCTGGGTAGTTCTGATTCACTTCATTGATTTATTCAACTGACTCTTATGTACCGTGTTCCAGGCATGGTGCCAGATGCTAAGGACAGCTGTGAACTGGGCAGATTGGATTTCTGTCATTCAGTCCACTCAGGTAGCCTGGCCTAGCTGCAATATCCCTGCCTTGCAGACACTCATCACCGCCGTGGGAAAGATAGTCTACATCGTGGCTTCTGTGCTCATCTTGTTCTTCATCCTGATGTATATCTTCGCTATCTTGGGCTTCTACCTGTTTGGAGTTGTAGAGAGGGGTGACATGAGTAACTGGGGGAGCCTGGATACGATTTTCTTCACCCTCTTCAGCTTGGCCACGGTACTGTGTTTGGGAACAGCAGGGAAGGCAGGGATCTTCAGAGGGACTGCCTGGGTGGTGTGAATGTATGGACATGTTGGGCCTCGTGGGGGCCTTACCAATGTTCATGTACTTAAACGGGCTGGGGGAAGTTGGGGGCTGGTGTTCTAGCACTAGTCAGAGACCAGTGGCCTGAAGAGGGATTCATCTCTAATCTTATGATTCCTTAGACCATTCTCATATGTACTATGGAATCATAAAACTTGTCAGTGTGGATGAAGTTTAACTTGTAAATTAAATCCACATCACATAGCCTTTTTAGAAACAGGGTATCACAAATCACCCAGAATAAGTATGTTATGGACTCAAGTCTAGACTCTGTTGAACTCTATAAAAGGGACTACATAGTGAGACCCTGTCTCTAAAATAAATAAATAAATGGGCTCTTTTCAAAGGTGGGCTTGGCATGAGGCAGGGGAGATGTTGAAAGGCTGGTGTAGAGGCAGAGATAATCTAGTGGGGCTGGGGGTCCCCTAGCATAAGTGAAATAGAATTCTATTCGGTTAGGCCTTCGCCCTCAGTGTACCCTACTCTCCCTGACCAGGTCGAAGGCTGGACAGATATGCAGGTGCAGTTGGAAAAGCACAATTTTATTGTGAGCCGAGCATTCACCATCATTTTCATCTTGCTTGCCTCCTTCATCTTCCTCAGTGTGTTCGTGGGTGTGATAATCATGCCAACTGAGGTAAGGCTGCACTTGCAAGGAGAGGGGATGAGACCAGATGTGGCAGGTGGTAGTGAGGGCCAGGTATCTGGGAGAACCCAGAGAAGTCTCTCCCTCCTGAAGAGGAGTGGAGGTGGAGAGATGGGCCTTTCCTGTACCGACCCAATTCTTCTCCCTGAGTACATGCAATTGTCTGTCTTGCCTTGTGATGGTGGCTGATGAGACTCCATTATGGAGATTTCTAAGTTACTGTAGAAGCTTGAGTTAGGGACATCCTGGGACGGTGTGTACCCATCCTGTGTGGTGTGTACCCCCCTGCTGGGGACCCATGCAGCAGGGCAAGGTGAAGCGGGAGAGAAGACATGGGGTGGGGGTGAGTATGCATTGAGGGCCTGCCCCTGACCTCCACCTTTGACTGGGTCTCCCTCAAGAAATTTGAGCAAGACCTGATGCTAGAGAAGCGTATGGAGGAGAAGAAGCAGATGATCCTGAAGCGACAACAGGAGGAGGTCAACAGGCGGATGCAGATACAGGTAGGTAGCCCTACAGGAAGTTAATGAACAGAGAAAGTCAGGGCTGAAGGAATGGCCAGAGAAGGGGCCTTGAGGCCCAGGGAGAGCAAGCAGGTGGCTTCAGGCATCTGTGGCCTTAGATAAGTGAGATATTTTTCTCCCTGTGTCTTCCAAAGCCAACCTCTTCTTTCCATAGTTTTGTTTCTCTGAACTGTAGGAAGCGGTGAGTGCTGTGATTACAATATCCCCTCCTTTGTGGCAGAGCTCTACTATAGGGGCCTTTGGGCCAGGCAGTCTATGCTAGAGCTTTTTATTGAGGGTGAGCAGTGCCAGCCAGCATAGCCCCAGGTCAATGGGTGGATGGAGACAAAGTGGCTCTTGCAAGTGGCCTTCAACCCTGATTTTCTCAGCAAGAGCCAGGTGTGGTGGTGTTCACTTGTAATCCCAGCACTCGGGAGTGAGGCGAGAGGACTGCTGCAAGTTTGAGGCCGGCTGGGCTACATAGTGAATTCAAGGACACCCGAACTACATAATGAGGCCCCGTCTCAAAACAAAAACAAATGAACAACAACAAAAGGCAGAGCAAGAGTGAGGCATAACTTCTTCCAAGCATGATACAATTGCGCAAGCTGGGGTCCTACTTTGCTTTTCCACCTAAGTGCTCTTGGTTCAGCTTTGGTTGCCTTTTGGGGCTCTTGATCTATTGTTATGTTCCTTTTTGGTCGCTTCTCTGAAGACATCTTCCTATGTAGATTTTGCCCGATGGGTGTCCAGGGCTGGAGGAGGCTACATTGGGCCACATTAAAACTCTCACTGGTTCCTTTGTGTGCCTCTGACCTCCATCAGTGATGGGGCTTATGAGGCTACCTCATCCACAAGATGAGGCTCAGAGGTGTCAGGATGATGCTGTGATTAAGCTTAAGACTCATCCTGAGGGGCCGGGGATTTAGCTCAGTAGTTCCGCTGCTTGCCTTGCAAGCACAAGGTCCTGAGTTTGATCTCCGGTACAAAAAAAAAGACTCATCTTGTGGCTGGTGATAGGCATCTGCTGAGGCCATGGTAGAGGGTCCCCAGATCTCTGTGCAGCTTGGTTGTTGTTATCTTTCTGTCATTGTTCTCTCTTTTTGCTCCATCTAGAAAACTGAAACTGTTGACAAAAATCTCGGTGAGTTGATGGAGAACTTAAAGAAGAGCCTGAGGGATACTGACCCCATGGTCTCGAGTGACTTTGGCACTAGCCTGCTCTTCATCGATATATACTTGTCCATTTTGGACAAACAGGACGCCACTGTCAAACAGTAAGTCCCTGTCCCAACATTTCCTGGTCCCCAGGGCTTCCTTGAAGTTGGGCTATGTTGGGGGCTGCAGTAGGGCGAGGGGTTGTTGACTGATATGTGGCACAGGCGCATGGAACAAGGCCCTTCTGGAGGGGGTGTGTGAAGGGTTCCATGTATGCATACAGGCTGTGCTGCTGTATGGACAGAAGAAATCTGTATGAACAGACCTGTGGCTTGGGGGGATCTGTTCCCCCATCCTTCCCTCTCCCTGCTTGATTTTGTCAGATACTAGCTCATTCAACCTGCTAAGTCCCTCATTCTCCAGGGGTCAGAGAAACTGTACTGGGTGGCAAGTCAAAAGCTGAGACTGGCCTGATTCTGCCACAACCTTCCTGTGTGACCTTAGGCAAATCTCTACCCCTTTCCCACCTGTCACACAAGGATTTGATAAGCTGATTAGATGACCACAATATATGTGAAGCACTGAGCTGGCCTGGCCCAGGGTTTGTGCTCAGAGTAAGCTAGCTGGGGTTATAAATGGCCATTATTAAGTTAGAAGGTTATAAAAACCCAGCAGAGGGGCTCTGGGAACTAGGGAGCCAGTGGGCTCCTGAGCAAGGACACACATAGTTAACTGGCTTCTCAATGAAAGCCCCTAAGGGGCTTCAGAGACTGGTGATACTAAAAAAATAAGGGGCCAAGGAATGCCTCTTTTTGGCTCGAGAGTGGGCAAGGCACTGTCTGGGGACTCCCACATAGTTCCTGTTCTTATAGCCCAGTGGGTCCTCCCCAACCTGTCGAATGAAGTGAAATAACTTACTCCCGGAGGTCCCAGGCAGATTGGAAGACCTGGCCTGGTTCTGAACTCCTTGTTTGTCTCTGACTGCACACCTGCCAGGTGATGAATGTGGGTGTGTGAAGGGTTCAGCTAGGGTGGCATGAAGCCCACCCCGTTCTCAGATACCCTGCCTTTCTTTTCTGCTTTCCAGGCTTCAGAAGCTATACTATAAGACCACGCACGTGTTGGGCCTCATGCTCAAAGATTTACCCGAGGAGAAGAAGTCTGAATCTTTAGAAAAGATTGATGAGAAGTAGATGACTGAGAGTGGGAGCACCCAAGGACTTGGGTCCTTGCAGACTGTAACAGTTCCTATTAAACACAGGATTTTGGAGCTGGCCTCTCTAGAGTTGCTGTGATCTTGGTACTTCCTCACCTTTGGGGGTTGGTCTCGATCGATACCCATGAAGTCCAATTTCCCAGAACCCCATGACACAGCAGATCTAGGGAGTTGGGGAAAGAAGGGTTAAGACTAGCCCTGGCCAGGACCCACAACCAGGAGCCACAGTGGCTCTAGCCTTCCTGGACCCAGCAGCAAGGGCCCACTGGATCCACGGGGATCTGCCTGAGGACCACAGGCAGAGAAAGAGCCCAGTCAAAGAGCTTGCTGGTATGGGAGCCTCTGAGGGCTGATCTGTGCGCAGGCCCATGCCTGGCAGGGCTGTAGCTCTCTGTGTCCACTGCTGTGGAGACCCCCTTGGGAGACTACTCTGATTTCCCCCAGGCTCACCCCCAGCTGTGACTGTCATATGAGCCTAGATTTCAGCCTGGGCCACTGACAATGTCCGGACAATTTGTACCTTGGCCCAAAGGATGCCTTAGACTGGTTCCCTCCTGGGGCTAGTTAGGCATCTTCACTTGAAGGGCAGTTGTCTCCATCATTCTGATGGCCAAATGACCACCAGAGCTGCAAGGACCTGGCATCACTTTGGCCCAGCCACAGTAGAGCTATCTGAAGGTCCCAGTGAGGCAGAGCAGTTGTCACCCCCTTGCTCCAGACTGGCTAGCTCAGAGCCCTGGCAGTTCCGCTCTGTTCCCACTGCTGGGGCATATGCCTGTGACCTTGGCAATGTCACCTCAGACAGAGGGTGAGATGGGTTCTGGGTAGAGCTGAGGAGGGAGACTGGCACCTATATCTGGGTAAAGAGAGGCCTCAGGTATACAATGATTCAGATCAGCAGAAAACACATGGGGTAGACTGAAAGTGGCTGGAAAAAAGGGTCTTGTGGTCAGGCCCTTGGGCTCCCGGCCTGAGGGACAGTACACTGAGGCAGGGGACTGGCAGGTAGGAAGGAGCCTTCTTCATGGTTTTAGCCATATATTGACTGTCTGCTAAACTGTGCTGGGTGTGAGGGTTCAGTGACAAGAAACCCATAGACCAGCCCTGGCTCACTTTGTACTCTTAGTTACATAGGCCAGTTTCCCTGAGGAGGTGACAATTGTTTGAATGCAAAGAGCATTCTTATAAGATATCTGAATCATTTCCATTTTCTACTGTTCATGCTGTCTGGGTCACAGTAAGAATGGGGAAAACATTTCCAAAACATTGCTCTTGAGTGTCAGATGCACTGCCATGCTGTAGGATGCTGTCAGAGGGCACTGTGCCAGTGCCTGGGGGCGTCAGTTCCCTTTGCAGAAGGAAAAGAAGCTCAGGACCTTTCTGCTTGAGGGTGACTCCAGACTAGAGCTTCCAAGGTATTCTGATGAGAGCAGCCAAGTGAGCAGGGCAGGCAGGGTGCAGGTGATGGCACCAGTTCAGGGCTGGAGTAAAGCGATATTGTCAACTGCTCACACTAGGGATGCTAGGGAGCACAGGGGACGTTAAAACACACCCACTCAGGGGCCGGGGATTTAGCTCAGTGGTTCCACCTTCTGCCTCACAAGCACAAGGTCCCAAGTTTGATCCTGGGTATCAAAAACAAAAACAAAACAAAACAAAACACCCACCTGCTCCCAATGGGGACCCTGGGAATTTCCTTAGGCATCTGGAAGTGAATAAAATATTTAAAAATTTGCCCCTGCCAGGCAAGGGAAAAAGTACCATGGTTTTAATCAGAAGACTTGAAATCCTTAACTGGGTGACTTTGGGCAAAGTGTTTTTTTGTTTTGTTTTGTTTTGTTTTTTGAGATAAGGTCTCTCTATGTAGCCTTGGTTGGCCTTGAACTGTTGGCAGTCCTCCTGCCTCAGCCTCCCAAGTGTTAGGATTACAGATATGTGCCACCACACCCAGCTGTGTTTGGCCTTTTGAAGCCTTAGGTATTTCCTGTAAGGAATGGAATGTTAAAACTGACCAGCTACAAGGATCAAACAGAATACATGTAAAAGTGTGAGAAGGATGTTGTCAACTCATGATTGATACTTCCTGGCCATCAGCTCTGTACCTCTGCAAGGGACAATTGCTAAGGGCTGTGCTGATCAGGGACTAAGAGGACCAACATTAAGGTGGCAGGGAAGAAAGGCTGGAACTGAGAACAGAGCAGAGGTCATGGACCTGCAGCAGGAGTATGAATGGGTCTCCAGATGGGTTTAGAATGAATGGAGACCTTGGTCCCAGGCTCAGCATGGTGGCCTTTAGCCACTGGGGTGCTGAGTGAGTGGGGAAGTCAACTATGAGGGCATAAGTAGATTTTCAGAGAGCAGAAACTGGAAGGGAGTGACGTGCATGGAGCTGGCCCAGCGCTGCCGGCAGAACCAATGGATATTTGGCATAAAGTCCCAAAGCAGCATTCCTGTTTGGCTCTGTTAGCCTGCAGAACAAACACTGGCAGATTGGAATTCCCACTTGGGCTGTCACCAACTCAAACAGACTTGGAGACCTTCAAATAATTTGCTTGGGGTAGAAGTGACTCTTTTTGCTCCAGCCTGGCTATGGAAAGCAGGATCTCCCCCCCACTCCCCAGCCCTGGGACCCAGCAAAGCTGTCCTGAGTGGTGAGCTGATGGTTCAGAGCTGCATGGGATGCAGGAGGCCTGACCCCAAGTCTTCATCTTTTGCTGCGACCCTTCCCCAGTTCTTGTGGGAAAGAACCAGAATGAAAGGCTGGAGGTATTTGGAGAGTGGGTATTTTGCTCTCCTCTCCTTGCCTTTCCTTTTTTTCCCTTCTGCTTATTGATTCCACCAATAGGGAGCAGTCCTTATAGTGTGGAAGACTAGAAGAGCAGACGGTGACTGAGAATACAAGTTCTTCTCTTTATTCCAACAGCTCCTAGAAACCTGATACTGAGATACTGGAAACTGCACATCCTGATGTCTTCAAATGCTGATGAGCTAGGATGCCCCTAAACCAAACTGGCTTTCAACAGGTCAGGTTTTGCTTTCGGTGGTGAACTTACCTATTTCAGGCTCTGCCCTGGGCCCAATGTTCTGCTCCATCTCCTGCAAGCTCTTGAGAGAGAAGTTGGTTGGAATTCCTAACCAGCCTCCCAGAAAGAAGAGGTGATTGTGGCTGATTCTAGTCACAAGGTAGGGGGAAGGAGATAAATGTGATGAAGTAGGACTTATCAACACATGAGTATCCCACTCTTGCCCGAAGATAATTTTCTCTGAGCTTGGTCAGCCCTGTGCTGCCCCTTGTCTGGGTCTTGTGTTGGGTTTCTTTGTGTAACGCCACACTGGGAAAAGGGTGCAGCACAGAACTGGAGCTGGAGAGAGCCCCAGGCGTTCTTGCTTCTTTAGCTCTTGGATTTTTCCTCCATGTTGGGGAGTCAGGGTAACATGCAAAGCAGAGAGAAAGCTGAGAGGCTAGTAGCTTGATGAGAGGAGAAGGAGATAAAAGCTGGGAATCTGGGACTTCTGGATAGCGGCTCTGACACAGCTGGCCTGAAGGACCAGGGATAGAGAAAAGAGGGGAATCTTAAGCGTCCTGTGGACTAAGAATTGGATCTCTGTTGATGTTTTCTGAGAAAGGTAAGTAATGGTTGAAATTACTGTACCTTTTAAAATGGATCATGAAAAATAGATTATCCTATGTGGCGTCTGGATATTATTCAGGTTACATAAAAGACCCTCCCTGGGAGCTGGGGGTGTGGCTGAGTAGTGAAGCACGTAGCTAGCGTGCATGAGGCCCTGGGTTCCATCTCCAGCACCCCCTCTACCCTTATATAACAAAGACCTCTCAGGCTAAAGCTTGGAAATGTTAAAAGGGCTTTACAAACCATGCACCGAGCCCCTCGCTGGACCACGGGCCTTCAGGTGATGATATCTGAAAGGATAGTGGCAACAAATGTTACTGACTTTTTGCAAAATGAATCTGAAGTCTCCAAAAGGGAGTGTAGAAGAGGCTAGGGTATGAGGGCCTGCTCTAAAGTGGGAAACTGAGGACTGATGTGGCCTGTGTAGGCTGGCAATGGGATGGTGGGGTTCTCACAGCAGAGGTAGCCCCTGAGGTACTTGCAGTGCAGTATCCTGGGAGTGCCGTTGCTCCTGACTCCTTCCTTTCCCAGGGCAACTTTGATGCCTGGGATCAGGGCCTGAGGTAAAAGACCTCTGTAGAACTTGATGCTGGGCCAGAGGAGGAGGAGCCCAAGTGGAGGTCTGGCCAGGACTCCACAAGTACAGCCTGTTCTCTTTATTGACCGTGGAAATACCACGTTCTGTTTTGCCAGAATTTCCATTTACCAGATGCTCTCATGTATGATTTCAATTGCATTAACAGCACTTAAACAGGTATTTTCATATTCCCATTAAACGGGTGGGAAAACTGAGGTTGAAAGAGGTGATATAATAAACCTAAAGTTGATGAGTAAAAGGGGAAGAAGCAGAATTCCCAGCTAAGTATGTCTAGCTCTTTAGCCACTCTGCTATAATGCCAAGCAACACTCTCCTGAAGAATTGTTATCCCCTTTTTATAGGTGGGCAAGCTGGCACTCAGAGAGGCTAACATGGCCAAGATCAGCACCAAAGGGTAGAGTCAATGTCTGAACGCAGGCCACACATGTACCCTCTGCTCTGTTGGCTCATAGAAAACTTCTTTTTTGCTAAAGCTACTTCTTGAAGCTTAAAAATCAAGTCATGGTTCCCCTACTGAGCAGGGCCTAACTGTGCGAGGAGGGAGGTCGGTTGTGCAAATGGGCCTTGGTCGGTCAGTTGCTTGGCACCTTCTCACCGCCTGGTTAAGGCTCTGAATGTTGCTGGCCCCGGGAACTCTGTGAGCCTTAGAGATTGAGAGGACGGCAGGAAGCAATCAGTGTGTGCAGAAAGGGTGGTGACTGCGGTGCCTAATCAGGAAATTACAGCCTGGGCAGAGAGGGTTTGGCTTAGACACCGCCTTTCCCTGGGCTTCCATACAGCAGGCCCACATGGGAGGCTTGGCTGCAGCCAAGGGGATGCACCAGTCTCTGCATGCACTGACTGCTTATTGGTGTGGTGGGAGCTGTGGCACCGGAGGGGCACTTTGGGAGGATCTTTTGCAAAGTAAGTAGATTTCTACCTGCCCTGGAAAGGGCAAGTGGAAAAAGAGGGAAGGAACTGTCAGGTGGGAAAAGCCAGTTGGAGAACTGAACATATATGGCACCATCTGCATTTAAAAAAACAAAAAGGAAAAATAAAACCACACACACAAAGTGGCAGGAAGACTTTTTCCCCCTTTGAGATAACAAAGATGATAGACAAAACCTACTCTGGCCTGGGTCTGGAGAATGGGCACCCTTATCCATTTTTGGCAAAGCAGACATAGGTGGCCTTGTCATAAAGCAATGTGAATTAGACTTTTCATATACATTTCTAGGGCCTCGAAGCTCCACTTCCTAAAATTATCTTACAGAACCAAAGGAAAGTACACAGAGATGCCTGGATTATGACATTTATTGTGGCTGGTTATAACAGAAGTATGACAAAAGAAAAGAAGGAGTTACCTAAATGCTCATTGGTGATAGAAGAGGTTGAGTTGTTGTGAAGCCATCCGTGTGACCATTAGAAGTGATGGCTTATTGATAAGTGTTTTTGGATGCTTTCTTGAATGAACAAAGTAGTTTCTAGAGCAACACATGATGTATGTGATTCACTATGTGTCCCAGTGAGTGAGCTCAAGGGATATTGCGCATGTGTGTAGGTGTCAATGCTGAGGGGCACCTGGAAGGATAACCATGGAACTATCAACAGTGCTTTGGGTTGATCTTGACTTTTGGCCTCATATTTCACTGAAGTGTTTAAATTTTAAGAATGAAAATGTACAGTATGTGCATCCCTGTGGCAGGCAGAAGAGCCACTGGCACAGAGGCAAAAAGGCAGGAATTTCAAGAGGGTTTAAGGAGTTGTGAGGCAGGTGGAGGCACCACTGAGCTACATCTCCAGCCCCAAGGGTTTAAGGAGTTGTGAGAGGTTGTGAAGCAGCAGCTTACAGTTTTGGGGGAACTTTGTGGGGTGGGGGATAGACTGGGGCAAGCTCCCAAGGACCTTGGGCATGAAGTGGGAAGTTTGGATTTTAAGGAATTGGAAAGACTGTGAGCAGAGTGATGACTGACCAGGTTTGATTCTTGCTGCTTCTTAAGTGTCTGTATCTCCCTCACCTGGCATGTATGGCCCCCCTATATCTCCCAAGTCTCCTCTTTGCCTGGCTCAGACTCTATTCCTGCACATATTTACTTCTGCACACCCATCCCAATCTTGCCTTTCCCAGATTTCTCCCATTAGCTCACATTTTCACCTTTGACATTTCCTATCTTACCTTAAATGAGACTTTAATTCCTCTACCAATAGATATTTCTTCTCCTAGCATCATTTGGGGATGGCACTAGACTGGGAGATCATGCCCTAACAGCTGGATGCCAGTGAGCAGCCTGCCGGAGACATGCCACCTTTAGGAGGTTGATGGAGGGAGGAAAATGTGGGCAGAAAAGAAACCCACTATTAGGTTACAGGCATGTAAGAGTGCCAAACACTAGACTTACCTTTTCATATTCATCCCTGTTTTACAGATGTGAAAACCAAATCTCAGGTTATGTGGAGGTTCTGTTAGGCTGTGTCTAGATCCAAAACTTGAGCTCATCACCTTGGTGATCCTCCTGACTCTGGCCCTCATCCCCTCAGGCTGGCTGGGTGGGCCAGGGCAGGACCTTCTTGTGTCTTGCTGCTCAGGGCACAGTAGAAATGTCAGAGGCTGGTGGAAGACTAGGACTCAGGTGGCTTCAGAGAGGTGATTCCACTTCATCCCAGTGGTAGCTCCTGGCCCCATGCAGGATGAAAGGGCAGCACAGCATCTCTGTTTTGGCCTTAGGAGTGCTACTTCACCAAGGCATCAAAGAGAGCTGTATCCCTGGCAGGGAGCACTATGGGGGAGTCTGGTAGGTAGGGAGGCTATCCATGCTGATTAAGGAAGAGCACCTACACTTAGAATTTCTCCAGAGGTAGAGCAGGCAGATGATGAAGAATTTTGTACATCTGAAACAACAACCCCCTGGAAAGTCACACATTATTTGTCACACCCAGGGTCTCTTCAAACCCTGGCATCAAATCCTAACAAGCAGGCAGATGGGTCCAATACCCAAACTTGGGCTTTGTGAAAGAAGGTCAGCCCAGGGACAGAGCCCACCTCGAGGGCTAAAATCTGGGTCTCTTGACTCCTAGAGGGACTTCCCTGTCCCTCTCAAGCCCCACCCTGTCCCAGGTCCCTCCAGCAGCCTTGGCTGAGTGGGTATCTCTCCATGAGGGGGCTGGTAGAGTCTCTGGGAGCCTGGGGAGCTGAGTAGATTTCATCAGCCCCCTCCTTGGGGTCTGGACCATGGGAGAGTGGAGACACTTTGGGAGGTGACGCCAAGCTCAGAAGAAGCCAGGTGCCACCAAGAATTGTGTGTGGCTGCCCTCACAAAGTCCATGACTCAATATCAATGCCAGCTTGGGGGATGGAGGAAGGATCCTTGGCCATGCTGTGGGGGTGGGGGCACTTTTGTGCAAAATATCCTTTAAATTGGGTGTGTGTGTGCCTGTGTGAGCATGTTTGTGCATGAAAATGCCAGAGTCTGGGTGGGGATAAGTATTCATCTCAGTATGTCCTGGAAAGTTCCCAGATAGGCCACAGGCAGGAACAGTCTGGGGAAACCCTCACTGGTCCTTCCACAGCCTGGCAGGTAGAAGAATGGCCAGCTGCTCTGTGGCTATGATGTCTTGGAGAGTTTGTCAAATACTTTCCGAGAAGTCACTGGGATGTTAAACTTTTGGTTCAATTAAATGGGTTAATAAGCTTTGTCTGATTTTGATGACTAATAATAATATGTGATAATAGCAATAATGGTGTTATTAGCTGTGATTATCACACATGCCGCACTGTCCCAGGCACAAGGGGAGGTGCAGCACACATTCCCCATGC